CTTGCTAAAACCTGTATATATATATATATATATATATATATATATATATATATATATACGCGTGCGTGTGTGCGCGCGCGCGTGCGTGCACGGGTGTGTGCGTGCGTGCGTGCGTGCGTGCGCGCGTGTGTGCATGTTGATGGGATGAAATTAATTGTTACGGGCCAACTTCGTCATGTTGTACGTAGCTCTATTGTGAAATGAGACACGCGCAATATAATATGTGCTCTCCCGGTGGAGTTGGTTTGGCTCCTGTAATTGCCAATTTATTGACATTTTATTGAAAGGTGGCCTGATAACAATAAGTTCAACTACTTCAAAAACCCTAACTAAATCACTAGATTTGCTAACTACAACCAACTAAAAGCACAATAACATCTAACACGAATTAAGCTAACCACACTCTGCCACTAATAATATATTGAAAGTATATGCGATGGTGACTACAGATCTCTGTAGTGTTTGCAGGACATGGTATATATTGTAGTACGCTGTCCCTGCGAAACAACTACGGTTCGTCAAACAGAAACAGAAACAGAAATGTTAATTCGTTCACCCCATAAAATGATCATCATGATTATATTTCAAATATTCGGATATTTCCATATTATCTCGCGCGGGTGTCTGTGTGCGTGCGTGCGTGCGTGCGTGCGTGCGTGTGTGTGTTAGTGGTCGACATGCTATCAACGTAATTAGTACGTTAGTTATACAAGATACAAGATACACAATCAGTTCGGTTTGGTTCGTTGTGAGTCGTTTCGTCAGGTCAACAACAGAGCCGTAATTGTTGTGTTGTAGTCAAAGCTACGCGTGGTTTCTGCTTTTGCCAGTGAATTCTATATCTGATACATTTTTCGTAGCACTTACGTAGTTTTTTCGGGGCGCTGCCATGGGGCGGCAGGTAACTGCTGGTAGACTGCCTTGTTTGTCATAGTGTTGTTAGTCATGTTTGGGGCGAGTTGGTATTGTGAGGCTATGCTTACATTAGGTATTCGCAGGGCAGAGTAATTAGCTATAGACCTAGTGAGCTAAGTCCGTTTGTTGTTATTTTATGGCGTTAACTCGGCAAAAAATTGACCGTATTCCTCTAACCAAAATTTGTCCTCGAGTAGCGTTCTTGGGGTTCGGTAATGTGCTTACCGTGTTTGACCCAATCTGTTGGCAAGCAGGCTTGTAAGGTGGTCAATGTCACTTAATGAAGTATTGACCGCATGCCTTAATTTACATGCTAGATGTTCCTGATGTGTTTCGGCAGGCGAGGAAGGTTCTTAGAGATGGTGAGCATGGGAGGGCCTTCAATGCTCTTCATTCACAGTCGCATTTCAGTAACGCCGGCTGACGGTTAAATAACGCCAGGTGGCGCTCGTGTCATCACGCGTGCAGCACGCGTGGTGCAAGTCGATGGGAGGTTGTCTCTCTCCTTGCTATGCACTGCTCTATGCGCTGTCCCTTTTGCAGGTGTAGCACCAGGGATTGCCCGACACAAGGGCCCCGATCGGCGCGGTGGTGGGGGGAGGGGGAGTTAAACTCACATTGTGTGAGGCTATAAGGTAAAGGATAGAATTTTCCACAACTTAGAAGTTTTAAAATAGCATCTTTAGCGTTTTTAGTAGGAAATAATTACTATACACACCTCCATATTATATTGTAATATACCACATGTACAGATAAATCAGCTCATCTTCCTACCGATTGTTTTCGCGTCACTGCGATTATAACACTCATTGATTTTTTCCACGACGGGGGGGTGAACTT